AGCTTTTCCGAGCGGCAGGATGTGCGATGACTCCATTACGGCGAATATGACAGAACAGATCCTTCAATACGACTCCGGGCTTCTCTGCCACAAGCAAAAGACCCCCTCTCACTAGCGAAGAGGAGGTAGATAAAAACACTAATTTGTCATCGAACTCCCCATACTCCTTTCCATTTATGCCACCCCCCCCCCCCTCCAAACGACTAAATAGCATCCCTCTTCACATCCCACCGGCAATCCTCAGCGCACGGTGTGAATTGCCCATTGCTTAATCTCGTTTGTGTGGCACGTCTTAAGACGCCAAGAAAAAAGGTAGCGCAGTTCGGCTCGGAAGGGAAGGGGACATTTTCGGGTCTTCGCTACCTTCCAATGTCGTGTTGAACCATAATGTAGAAATATGTGAAATCTTGCTGAGCCATGAAGTGAAACAAGTCAAAGTTTAGAAAGACTACTTGTCTACTCTTGTGAAGCAGCGAACATGACAATGATAAGTAGCGAAAGAGTTCCCTCCCGCAAGAAGTACGCCGAAAAGGTTTAGCAAAAGTGAAGCAAATGTAATGTTGGCGTAAGAAGACTGTAAAATGGAAAGGAATGCAAGAAAAAACAATTCAAGCTCGGCAGAATTGCTTGAGGGGTTGAGTAGCACAGGCACGTGGCCCGTGCACTACCGTCTGCTATATCTCGGGTCGCGTGTCCTTCTTACTTCTTAAGCTACGTTCACACTTCGCGATTTAATCGCTCAGGCTTGTGACTGATGTCAACCTCGAGCAAACGCGCAGAACAATTGCTGGCGCAGATGGCTCGCAAAGTATGAACGCGCTTTCGGCAGTGGTTACGTGACATTTTGAACTTTTGTCATGGTCCTGTTGCGAACGGATAACGCAGATAGATAGAGGATGTATGCTGTCAAAGCACCAAAACGTGCAAGGAACATGTGGCGAGCCAGGATATAGCATCTTTCAAGAATAGGGGACTGCGAGGTGTAAAAGCCATTTATAATTTCTGAGAAGTTGGAAAGTTTGAGGTAGCAATGACCACAGAATTCCATAAGGATGAGAGAAAACAGAAACTCGACGTGTTTAAAGGGATTAGTTTCAACTTCTCCGTAAACATTTAACAGGTAGCGTTTCCACTGCTTCAATGGTTCTACACATCATCATGAATATACGAAGAGATAGAAAGTGAACATAGAAGGGACCTCTATCACTTGAAAAAAGCTACCTTAAATTTTTCGCCGCTCTCTTCAATGAAGTAAAAATCAACAGCGGAGTTTATCGTTTTGCTTTGTTCATCTACCAACTCGGACTGAAAAGATTTCAAGAGGACTGAGAGCCGTTCGCAATGAATCCAAATGAAATAAGCCTATCTGAACCCACAGGTTGAAAATTGATGAGCCATGCATCTCTTTCAGTGGTTCCTGTATAGCGTTCATAGCCATACTTTGCATCGATTACATCGTTGAACTTTATTTTTTGTACCCGTTCTTCGTAATTTGCATCACTAAAAACGCGAATAAATCACTTGAACATTCGTCTCACAAAATATGATCAAGATAAAAAACTAACGTTTCCACTGCTTGCATTTGAAGTTGATCGTTGTCATTTTGTGGCTCTTCTGACATATTCCAACAACTGCTAGCTAGAATACTTCAAAAGAATGTTGAAGTAAAGACCATTGAAAATTAAAAAGAAACTTTGAATACAACTAAGAAAGTCTCTAAATAAGTTCTGCATAGTTGGATTTATTTAAAAAGTTTAAATTCGCGCATTCGCTAGCCAAATTCTTCGAAGGAGCACATTTTGGCTTTAGAGCGCCGTTGTTGGGAGGAGTCTACGGACAACTTGTACTCGTCTGGATTTTGGTGAAAATGGTAATGGCGCCGAAAATGGATGTGGTATTGGTAATGAGGACATTAGGAGGATAACCCTATTATGCAATCTTATCCCGATTTTGGTGAAAAAGCGTTGGCGTCAAATGTTATCGGCGCCAAAAACGGATTCATGATGAGGGAGGTACCGAGTAAGGCCTGTAGGCGACTTTTCAGCAAAATTTTCTCGAATTTCCGAAGAAATGGCTGAATAGTATCATATTTCTCCCATTTTCATTACTAGAAACTAGTTGCTCAAATGCCTCTGCCATCATGCTCGAATTCACGTCCTTCTAATGACACCAGGATTACGGTAACACTCTTTCGACGTACTCACTACTCTCTCTTGTCTCGCTCACACATCGTAAACCGATGACGAGAGTATTCATCACTATCGAATATACGAATGATAGATATTGGGTATCAGTTATTTAACGGTAGATACCGACGATTGTAAACAGGCCACATCATCGAGGATGTTTCATATTTTTACGGATTTGTACTAGACCAGCCCTCATAATACATCGGCAAATATTTGTAAGTTCGATACAGTTTTTTCTTTAATCGCCTCCTGTTAGCAGATCCCGTCAACAGCCGTACAATGCCTCTTAGGCAAGTATAACCGTGGAGCAGACTGTTGGACACGTACAGTCCTACTTTCCGTGGATTATGGCTCGTGTCAGGAGGCTGAATCTAGGGGTGGTTCCCCG